AGTAAAGCTTCAAAGTTTAACTTTAAGCACATGAATAGTGAAACCTATTGGTATTATTGGGACAACTCATGGTTAACACTAAATGCTACAGACATGGTTAAGTATCCCAGTCAGCAGTCCGTTGTAATTGGACCCAGACTTGGGATTTCACTTGCATCCATATCAGGACTGAGGTTCAGAAATTAAGATTCAAAACTTAGGTTAGGCTGTATCAAACTTCCAAAAACCTATCACCTAGTTCATTCTGTCACCCGAACATACTCCTTCTCAGAACCTCTTGGGACATCACAGGATCAGTCTGTGCCCAGGCGGACTCTGTGCCATAATTCTGTAACAGTAAGTGGATAGTGATCCCTACCATGTGATCTCATTAACTTTTGTAACCCTGTCTAAAGATATGCAACTAAAGGCAAGAAACATTGTGCAATACCCCTGCTGCAGGACAGGGTTTAGTGTTTTGCAATGTTGTTATAGCCATATTGATTCTGGGGTATGAGACAAAAGGCAGGTGAGGCAGAATCTTTTGCTCTATGCGCTTCTGTTGGTGGAAAGTACAGCTTCTTCAAATTGACCCTCAACTGCCAATGTCTTCTAAAGTCATCTCCTACAACATGCATTACCCTGATATGTAATATTCCATTCCAGTTTTTATTTAGCTCAGACACTCCCAATTGCCTTCCCCATACCAGTAAGATTGTACCTTCCACCAACATAATGTATCTCACCTACCTTGTATCTCTCAGGGTATGTCTACACTAGCTCGTTAATTCGAGCTAGGTAGGCAAATCAGGCAACCGGAGTTGCAAATGAAGCCTGGGATTTAAATATCCCAGGCTTTATTTGCATGTTCCTGTCTGGCCGCCATTTTTAAATCCTCCTTAGTTCAAACGAACTGCCCACGGCTACATGCGGCAGTTTAAAGTTAATCTGAACTAAATCCTTAGTTTGGATTAACTGTTACACCTCATTCCACAAGGAATTCCAGCTACAGGTCCCTTCCTGGTAGATTAGCCAAGTGTGACTTGTCACACGGCCCTCAGCCACAGCTGAAGCAGCAGTAGAGTCAATTGCTGCTTGGAAACCTTTTCGAATGACAGGGGAAAATCTCTCTTCTGCCAAGACACTGCAATGTTTAATTGAGCCCCCTCTCCTACACAAACAGGCTGCGTGAGTCAAGGGTAGAGGTAGCAGTCTCTCCCCAAGTTCCAACCGTGGCAGAAGCCTGGTTTATACTGGTAAACCCCTTCAAAACTGCTCATGGTTCCCGCAACAGGCTTTGGACTCTGAAGACCAGTAGTCTAGAAGAAGTTTAACAGGACTGATCTTCAGCGAGGAATATGAGTGAACAAGAATTTCCCCAGAGAATTACATTAATGTTGTTAATCTTAGGTCCTTCCTCATCATCCTACCACCTCTGTAGTCCAGTTACTTCAGCATCATGAAAAATCTGTTCTTGGACAGCATTATTGTTTTTACAGATTGTATATCCCATTGTCAGGGCAGAATTTCACTTCCATTAGCTGTCCATGCCATTGGAGATCATGAGGTGATGGCAAAGGAAGTTCCTGAAACAGCAGGAGCAGCGTCCCTAACTGCCACAGACACAGCCTCCCCGGCCCTGCACCCTGGCTCCAGGGGGAGGAAAAGGGGACAGGGCAGCTACCATCCACCATGCAGCCCAACCAGAACCCATCATACCATCACTCAGCTTCCGTTCCAGCAGGTGGTGAGTGCTGCTGCATGGCTCTGCAAATGAGGCAGGCGGGCCTGCTAGATGCTGTGGGATCAGTAAGATCTATTGCAAGATTGGTAGGTCTTTTTGGATCATGAGACCCAACAGACCAGTGGTATTAGGAGTATCTCTTCCTTTAGGTAATGATGAGAAAGAGGCTACATGACCCTTTACAAATTCTTTTA